ATCTGAGACCATCTGGAAGCACATGCAGCCAGCATTTGGGTCATAACTCAAGACTTTGGTTGTAAGTTTAAATTAAAATTCCTGTCATAACCCAAGTTGTTCATATGTCAGGCAGGTTGTAACTTCAGTGTCCACTGTATATATTACAATTTGACATTGTTAAAACAGAAAACACTGGGCTAAGGAGGTAGCTGGGTGGTAGGGTGTGTGCTTTGCTTAATGTGTATGAGGCTCTGGGTTCCATCCCTAAAACTGCAAAAAGAGAACCAAACCATACCAAAAAAGCCATTTGGGTTATCCATTCAACACATATATACTAGAACACTCATATACAGGTCATTTCTCTCTCTCTTTGCCTCTTTCTCTCTCCCTCTCTCCCCTCTCTCTTTCACCTAGGGTTGAAACCAAGGCTTCATACTAGGCTACTGCTGTACCACTAAGCTTACACCCCCAGCCCTTTTTATTTTAAGACAGGGTCTTGCTAAATTGTCCAAGCTGGTCTTGAACTTTGAATCCTCCTGCCTCAGCCTCCCAGTATCACTTTTTTATTTTTGGTACCAGGGATTGAACTCAGGACCCTGCACTTGCCAGGCAGGCAGAGCACCACCACTGAGCTATACCTCCAGCCCCCTTTCATTTTCTTTTCTTTCCTTTTTTTTTTTTTTTTTTTGCGGAACTGGGGATCAAACACAGGACCTTGCGCTTACAAGGCAGGTGCAGTGCCACTGAGCTAACTCCCTGGCCCTCTTTTTTTTTTTTTCCGACAGGATTTCTTTTTTTTTCTTTTTTGGATTTCTTGATATGTAGTACAGACTGGCCTCAAACTCACATAGATCCTCCTGCTTTGGCCTCCCGAGTGCTGGCTTACAGGTGTGCACAGCATAGCCAGCTTTACATTACCTCTTGATCACTTAATACAATACATAATATTTATGTAAGGCTGTGTAAATAGTTGTTACACTGCACTGTGTGGAGGAATAATCACTGGAGAAAGTCTGTCCGCGATCAGCACAGAGGACATGTTTTTTCTAAAATTCTTAATCTGTGGATGGTGAACAGGTGGATCCAGAAGCCATGGACACAGAGGCCAACTGTAGCGACAACCACTGCTGAAGCAGCCCTGGTCCCTGCAGGGGAAGGCGCCCAGGGCAAGGAGAGCCAGCAGAGCGGGCTGGACGGCATAGGTGGGCCCTCAGTCTAACCCTTTGCCGGGGCTGTGGAGGCAGATTAGAGCGAGGCGGGCTGGCTTGGGAAGCAGGGTGAGCGGTTAACTGCAAAATCCCAGGACACATCCGCAGAACAGTTCCCAAAGCCTTGCCGATGGACCCGAACCGAGTGCCGCCTCAGTTCCTCTCGCGAGAACTCGAGCGGTTTTGGATAGGTCAGCTCGGCTCTGGCTCAGCCTGAGCGGGAGGTACAGAAGGACCTTTGGAAGGAGCGCTCCCCTGCTGTGCTCTTGCACGAGGATCCACTCTCACCCTGCAGAGTGTACTTTGTTTCTTACGTTAGTTGGCCCAAACTCACTCTGCAGAGCCTGTTTCTTTTCCTACCTTAAATAAACAGAAACCCCACCATCTTGTGCGCTTGTCTTGATCAGTTCTTTCGTGAGGACAGAAAAGACTTGGAAACCAGCTCTAGAAGGGGACACCATCCTGATAACACCGTGGGCCGTGGGGACCGTGGTAAGGAGGCACGGTGCACAGGGCGGGTACAGACACCAGCCGTCTCCTCTCCAAACTTCTGGAGACAGAAGTGCAAGATCCAGGCCCTGGCAGATTCCTGTCTGGGAAGGGCCACTTCTCACTTTGTCCCCGTGTGGTGCTAAGAGCTAATGAGCATTCTTGGGCCTCTTTTTTATTTTTCCAGCACTGTGGGTGGAACCCAGGGCCTCACAAGCGCTAGCCAAGCGCTCACCACAGCAACACCCCAGGCTTCGGGCCTCTTCTATAAGGGAACAAGTTCGGTTCGCCAGGGCTCTGCCCGGTGACCTAATCGCTTCCCCAAATTCTATCTCCTTTTTTCGTTTGTTTGAGACAGGGTCTTGCTATGTAGCCCAGGCTTCCCTACAGCTCAGTGATCCTCCTGCCTCAGCCTCCCAAGTACTGGGATTACAGGCATGCACCACCACACCTGGCGAGACAGGATTTATCAACTTATCCAATAGGTGAGTAGCCCAAACTCAGCAAGGTGAACCCAGGCCCTCCATCCAGTCCCCTTGCCCAGGGAGCACACCTCATGTTCCTAAATGAAAAAGATACCGGGCATGTTGACGCATGCCTGTAACCCTGGCTACTCAGGAGGCTGAGGCAGGAGGAATGCCAGTTCAAGCCCAGTGTGAAGGTTAACCTTAACTGTGTCATCGAGGTTGGCTTAAGAAATCCCCAGAGGACTAGTAAACCCCACTTCTGGGTGTGTGGGCAGGTCATGGAGGCATGATCTTGGGGACCACGTCTGCTCCCTGGCCTCTTCCTCTCAGGCACTGTCCCGTTTGGCTTCCAGGCTGCTGTGAACTGAGCACCTCTGCTCTGCCACGCCCTTCCGCCATGCTGGCCCTGCCTTGGAGCCAGCCAACCATGGACTGAATCCCCTGAAGCTGAGAGCCAAATAAACCTCTCCTCCTTTAAACTGTGGGTGTCGGGTATCGTGTCCCAGCAACAGGAAAAACTAATACACCCGGCCTGGGCAACTTAGCAAGACTCAGTCTCAGAATTTGAAATACTGAAAAAATACAAAGGCCTGGGTGTTAACTTAGTGTAGAGTATTCCCATACCTGCCGAGGATTTAGCTCAGTGGTTCTGGCACCTGCCTCGCAAGTGCAAGGTCCCGGGTTCGATCCCTGGTACAAAAAAACAAACAAACAATCACTAGTACCAAAAAAGTTAAAGCAAAACAAGAGTCCAGTGGTGAGTGCTTTTTTTTTTTGGTACCGGGGATTGAACTCGGGTCCTTGCACTTGTGCAGCAGGCTGATGAAACCACTGAGCTAAGTCCCCAGCCCCAAGTGGTGGGTGCTTTTAAGTTGGGTGGGCCACAGGTACCGAGATTCTGGCTAAAATATGGTCCAGATGTGAGGGTGCTTTGCAGGTAAGCTTAACATTTAAATCAGTAGACTTTCAGTAAAGCACACTGCCTACCTTCCACGTGTGGGGGCCTCATCAATCAACTGAAGGCCTTAGGAGAAAAGACAGGCCCCTCTAGGAAGAAACAATTTGGCCTCCAGACTGTTAGGGCTCCACTGGCCACATCAACTTCCGAGGCTCCAGTCTGTGGCCCACCCTGTAGATCTGGACCTGCCGGCCTCCAAACTTGCATTAGATTGCAACAGACCTATCTCTGTATGTACATCCAGGTGGTCCTGTTTCTCCAAGAAGCCTGCCGCATACACAGGGCTGTCCTGGAAACCAGAGGCATAGCTCTGACAAGGAAAGTAGACAGTCTCCCTTTTCATGGATTCCTGTGAGATACTTTTCTTACCCTTATTTTTTATTTATGTATTTATTCTTGCTCTTTTTTTTTATTCTTGCTCTTGGAGACAAGGTCTCGCTATGCAGTTCAGGTTGGCCTTGAGCTCACTATGTAGTCCAGGCTGGCCTCAAAGTCACAGTGTACCTCCTCCCTCAGCCTCCTGAGTGCTGGGATGACAGGCGTGGGCCACTGTGCTCAGCTTCTTCGCTTTATGATCTAACACCAACTGCCCAAACTTTGTGAATTCTAGATTGAGATCTGGGTATCTGCCTATATACAACACAGAATTTAATCTTACTTGGTCTCTGGTGTGAGAAACTGAAAGTGTAAATAAGGACTAAATGTATAATAGGTAATGTGAAATAGGAAGGGGCAAAGGAAGGAAGTGGGAGGGCTAGGGGAAAGGATAGAAGGGAATGGGATTAATATGAGAAAATGGAAAAATAGGAACAAAATCTTTGTAAATAGGGAGGAATGGAGGGGTTGAAGGGAGGGCTGGGCAAGGGTGAAAAATAAGAACCAAGAGAGACTATGTAAAGGTGCAAATTTCCAATGATGAATGTCATTATATTGTATACCTAAAATGTACCAGTGATTAGAATGAATAATTGATAATGTAAAATAGGAAGAAAAGGTCCAAAGGGGTAGGGGTGGTGGGAGGGGCAGGGGAAAGGAAAGAAGGGAAAGGAAAAATGATGAGAAATGGAAAAAATGGAAATAAAGTCTTTGTAAATAGGGAAGGGTGGAGGGGGTGAAGGGAGGGCTAGGAATGGGGAAAAAATAAGAACCAAGATGCATTATGTAAAGGTACAAGTTCCCAATGAGAAATGTAATTGTGTTGCATACCTACAATGTACCAATAAAAGAATTTAATACAAAAAAAAATCTTACTTGGATATAAGAAGAGCTTTTTTGGTCAGTGCAGCGGACAACAGCAAACCCCTCTCCTGGGTCACCCACCCTACTCCTCTGAGGGCCCAGTGCCCTGCCTGTCCCAGCCTGGCATGAGGGAGAGCTGAGCACTTCGGGCCCCTCACTGTCCCAGCACAGTACCACACTGGCAGCAGGTGTGGAGGGGCTGTGCCTGGCAGCAGAAGGTGGGACACCAGTGCTGAGAAGTGGCCACTTGGAGCCACATATTCATGGAGGACACCACAGGATGGTAAGGGCAGAGACAAGGTGATTTGCAGGACAAAGGGTGGTGAGGTGGGAATGTAGCTCAGTGTGGAGGCCCTGGGTTCAATTTCCAGTACCACAAATAAAGACAACTAAGCCAAAAGGAAAAGTACACCTGGGGTGAAAGTGTCTCAGATAATGTTGGCAGGAAAAAAAAAAAGTTTGGTTTTTGGTAATTTCTTCAGGATATTAGAAGAGAGGCCTGACTGAGGGTGGTGGTGCACACTTGTAATCCCAGCACTTGGGAGGCTGAGGCAGGAGGACTCCCACAAGTGCTAAGCCAGCTTGGGGCACACGGTGAGTTCAAAGGCAGCCTGAACTACACAGTGAGACCCTGGTTCGAGAAAAGTAAAGGAAGCCTTTTGTGCTTTATATTCCATATTTATTGAACCAGTCCCTTCCTGAGGAACAGTTAATTACATTTCCTGACTCCTCACTGTCCCAACACAGCCACGAACTGTCTATATCCAGCCGAGAGAGGAACTGCGGGGGTGTTAAATGCTGGCCCACTACCAAAGGACCTGCAACACCACAGTCTGATGTCCCTCCCAGCACCCCAGGGGGTCCACTTTCTCATCTGGTCACCAACACTGGACATTCTCATGAATTTTCCCACTCTGAAAGGCAAGGCAAACTTCTCATTTTCCTCTGGTTCTCTTCCATTAACAGGGAGGAGACAGACTCTCCCTATAGTCTAGACTGGCCTTGAACTCACTATGTAGTCCACGTTGGTCTCCAACTCACAATGATCCTCCTGCCTCAGCCTCTGAATGCTGGGATCACAGGCATGCATCAACCTGTACCATTTGAATTTCTTTTGCTATATTGAGTTCAAATCATTCACCCAATCTTATCTTTTTCTTTTTTCTTTTTTTTTTTTTTGCGGGGGGGCGGGGGGGGCTGGTACCCGGGATTGAACTTGGGTCCTTGTGCAGCAGGCAGCAAAACCACTGAGCTAAATCCCCAGCCCCTCTTTTTTTTTTGGTACCGGGGATCAAACTCGGGACCCTGAGCTTTCAAGGCAGGTGGTGGAACCACTGAGCTAAATCCCCAGCCCTTATCATCTTTTTCTTATTGCTAAGAACCCTTTATTTATTTATCAAGGATATTTACTCCTAACAATACTGCAGTTTTGTGGGAGGTACTGGGGTGCTCTATACTGAACTACACCTCAGCCCTTTTTTTGTTTTGTTTTCTTTTTTTAGTACCGGGGATCGAACTCGGATCCTTGCACTTGCGCAGCAGGCAGCGAAACCACTGAGCTAAATCCCCGGCCCACCTCAGCCCTTTTTATTTTGAAACAGGCTCTCACTAAATTGTCCAGGGTGGGCTTGAAGTTACGCTTTTCCTCCCTCAGCTTCCTAAGCAGCTGGGACTAAGGTGAGGTGTGGTTCACCATAGCCACCAGCAAGACACTAAATTTTTTTTTTTTGGTGCTGGGGATCAAACTCAGGATCTTGCACTTGGGAGGCAGGCACGACGCCACTGAGCTAAATCCCCAGCCCAACACTAAATATTTTAGTCCTTTTTTTTTTTTTAATTTTTAATTTTAATTTTTAATTTTTGGTACCGGGGATCGAACTCAGGACCTTGCGCTTGCAAGGCAGGCACTGGAACCACTGAGCTAAATCCCCGGCCCAAAACTAAATATTTTTACGAGTCTGTTTATCATCTTCTCCTCCATACAGCAGTTTTTCCTGTTCAGCTGGGTCAAGCCCGTTGATTCTATTACAGCTTCAGTTTTACGTCTAATGTAGACAAGCCTTTTTCTCCCCCCACCCCAGTAATAGGGGTTGAATTTTGGGCCCCTACACTGACCTACATCCCCATCGCCTCTTTTATTTTATTTTATTTTTTTTTTTATGGTACTGGGGATTGAACTCGGGTCCTTGCACTTGCCAGGTAGACAGCAGAACCACTGAGCTAAATCCCTGGCCCTCTTTTAATATTTTTTATTGTAAGATAAGGTCTTGCTAAGTTGCCCAGGCTGGGCTCAAATTCACAATCCTCCTGCTTCAGCCTCCCAGACTGGGGATTTGCTAAGCTTCCTGTACTTATTTTCTGCACACTTATCAGTTCCAGCTCCTAAACACTGAGCCTTTACTGTAATTGGCCTTTCAGTGCCCCACACAGCTCTCCAGCCCCAAGGCAGAGCCCAAGTCCTTGGAGCCTGAAGGCCAGCCAGGACTGGGGAGCGGCTGGGTGCCCAACTGTGGCCTCATGTTTTTCTCCAGCTCTGCTGCCACCCGGGGGGCTACAGCCTGGATAGCGGCCTGGATGCTGTGCAGGTCCCACTGGGTCCTTAGGAGGGCATCGTCCAGCGTGAAGAGGCCATCTCGCGTGCGCCGGACTTGCGAGCAGATGGCACTGGTCTTGAGCTCCAGGCCAATTTCGTGCACCAGCTTCCGGAGCTGCTGCTGTGTCTCATGCATGCACTGCACCTCTGCGGGACACACAGGGTGTACACGGTACTCAGGAGCACAGCCACAGGGTCCCACACCTCAGGACACCTCCCAACCCTGGCGTCCTCTCCAGGCTCTGCAGTGCAGGCTGAGGCCCAGTGGGGTGGAGGTTGGGGGCAGAGTGGGGCAGATGCAAGGAGCTCAGGCCCTGACCTGCACCTGCAGGGTTAGAAGCTGCCTTTGAAAAAGACCCCAGGTAACCTACAGAAGCACAGCCTTAGACTCAGTTTGCTCATCTGTAAAATGGGGCAGTGAAGCATCCAGAGCTCATTTATACAGGCTGCCTCATCAGCAGCACTTGAGAAAAGGAGCCCTTGTTAACAGGACCAACTGGCACGGAAGGAACAGGGATCTGGGGGTTGGGCTGAGAGGGGCCTGGGGGCCTGTGACAATGGGAATCACTGCAGCTGTGAAATGAGCCACAGGCATGACCTCTGCATGCAAGAGTCGAGCTCCACAGTGCAACCTGGCAGAGGCTGGGGCGGGAGGAGTTGGCCCCGCAGCCTGGGCCAGCAGAGACCAGGGTCGCAGCCCAGCTGAAGCATGGCAGCCTCTGCCACACGCTGATGCCCCCTCACCACTCACCCTCTGGGTGACTCACCTAAGAGGAACTCCGGAGGCGAGAAGTGGAGACAGCGGATGCCGGAGATGAGCATCGGAGACTTGTCCATGGGCCGGATCATGCCTCTCACAGCCATCTCATAGGCCTCCTGGGACTGCAGGTCCAGGCTGGAGTACCTGGGAGCCCAAGGGACTCGATGGGTGGCTGGAATGGGGAGGGAACTGGGCCACAGCCCTGCCCAGCCCTGCCACACCATCAGGGTATCTGCCATCACTGCTACTCCAGCCATCTTTGAAGAAGCCTCCTCTCCTTTCTTTTCTTTTTCTTCTTATTTGGTACCAGGAATCGAACTTGGGACCTTACACTTGTGAGGCAGGCGGCAGAACCACTGAGCTAAATACCCAGCCCACTTCTCTTTTTTTTGAGACAGGGTCTCATCTCATCAAAGGCTGACTTTGAACTCATGGCGATCCTCCTGCCTCAGCTGCCTGAGTGCTGGGACGACAGGTGTGCACCACTATCCCTGACCCTAAGGCAGGGATTCTTTCTGTCCCACTTACAGATAAGGAAAACGAGGCACAGGGCAGGTGAGAGCCTTGCCCAGGGCCAGGCTGCTGATGCTGAGAGTCAGGGGTTTCATGCAGGCTTGTACCAGGCCCACGCTCTCAGGACGAGGAGGACTCTGCCTGCTGCTGCCCTCCAACCTGGCCTTGAGCATTCGGTCTGTGGCTTCTTCCCCACCAGAAGCCAGGCTCGGCTGACATTTCTGAGAACAGGACACTAGGAGTCCACTGTCCCAGCACCTCCCCAGGGCCACTCACATCACCAGGGCCTTCTGGTGGGAGCCTTGGATGACGGACAGGATCCGCTCCAGCTTCTCTCTGGTCACGTGGTCTGGAAGAGGCGTGGGGTGGGGGTGGTTAGTGCACAGGATAGGTGACACAATACTGGCAATTCCTTTCCCCCACACCAGCCCTGCACTTGGAATCCACCAAAGCACCCATCTGGGGCTTTGTGGAGGACGAGAGTGTTCAGAAAAATTTTTTTCTTTTGCAGTACCGTGCACTGAGCCTAGACTCCAGAGCCTCACACATGCGGGCCAGTGCTCTACCCTTTGGCTCCACCTCTAGCCCCCCCACCCCCCGGCTTTTTTTCAATTTTTTTTTTTTTTTTGGTACGGGGGATCAAACTGGGGTCCTTGCGCTTTCAAGGCAGGCGGTGGAACCACTGAGCTAAATCCCCGGCCCTGCTTTTTTTAAATTTTATTTTGAGGCAGGTCTTGCTTGGTTGCCCAAGCTGACCTTGAAATTTTGAGGCTCCTGCCTCAGCCTCCCCAGTGCTGGGATTACAGGTGCGCTCCACTGCACCTGGCTCCAGGAAAGTCTTTATGAAAACTCTACACCTTCTTCTCAGCAAGACACAGAAGAATTTAATATTCTGAAAATATTTTCCAGGGCTCAAAGATCCCATAAAAGTGATTCAGGGGCCGCGGATTTAGCTGAGTGGTTCTGCCACCTGCTTTGCAAGAGCAAGGTCCTGAGTTTGATCCCCAGTACCAAAACCCCACCCCCAAAAATCCCAAAAAAGTCATCCAGATTACAGGTTAAGAATACTTTCTGGGCCAGGGATTTAGCTCAGTGGTTCCGCACCCTGCCTCGAAAGTGCAAGGTCCCAAATTCGATGCCCAGTACCAAAAAAAATACTTTCTTCTAAGCTGAGTGTGGTGGTGCACTGGGGAGGATGAGGCAGGAGGATTACTGGGAGTTGGAAGCCAGCCTGAATTTCACAGTGAGACTCTGTCTCAAAAAACAGAACAAGGGCTGGGGATTTAGCTCAGTGGTTCTGCCGCCTGCCTCGTAAGTGCAGGGTTCTAAGTGTGATTCCCAGTACAAAAAAAAAAAAAAACAGGACAAACAGGGCCAGGGATTTAGTGCAAGGTCCCAACTTTGAACCCTGGTACGGAAAAAAAAAAAAAAAGAGAGAGAGAATTTGGGGCTGGTGAAGAATAAGCCATCCAAACTGGGCATGGTGGCACACACCTGTAATCCCAGCACTCAGGAGGCATGAGTTTGAGGCCAGCCTGGGCTACATAGTGAGTTCAGGGTCAGCCTGAACTATAAAGGGAGACACTGCCTCAAAAAAAAAATAAATAAATAAATAAACAAACAAATAAATAAGCAAGCCAGCCAGCCATCCAGTCGGGCATGGTGGTGCACACATCCCAGCACTCAGGAGGCTGAGGCAGGAGGATCACCTCGAGTTCCAGTCCAGCCTGGGCTACAGAGTGAGTTTAAGACCAGCCTGAACTACATAGCAAGATCCTGTCTCAAAAAAACAAAAACAAAAGCAAAAAAGAATGACGATCCCATCACCCATCCACCCAGCCACCTGTACCTAACAAGCCTCCCATGTCCTGGGCCCTGTGCTATGTGTGTGACCACAGGAGTAATCCTCACAGGCCCTGCTCTCACGGACGAGTCTGGTGGGCACAGATACTAGGTAATCGCTGACCTTTAGCTGTTTTCCATTCTGAGTCCATCCAGCCCAAGGCCTGTGCTGCGGCTAGACGTCCCTGGGCCAGGGGACATAAGAGCCAGGCACGGTGAGCACAGGGCAATCTGGGAGTCAGGTGATGAGGCGAAGGCCTCAGCCTGAGCTTGGCATGGGAGTAGGAGTAACTGAGCTGGCACCAGCGTGGCTGGTAAGGTGAGGAGCCCAGGGGAAGCGAACGTGCGGCAGGTGCTCTCACCATATGTCGTCTTCTCCACCAGCCGCCCGTCCTCCTGGAAGTTGTCCGTGGCTTTGCCCAGCAGGCCTCGAACTGTGTAATCCTGCGAGGATCGGGAGGGGAGGGTCCCCTCAGGGATTTGGCTCCAAGATGCGGCACTAAGGAGGTACGAGGTGGAGGCTGGGGCAGGGCCCTCGTTCTCTCAGGGAGCTCCCGGCCCCAGGGAAGGTGCCAGCTCTGCTGTGGGGCCTCAGGCAGCTCTCCCTGCACCCCAGTTCTCCTCTGGGACCTGGGGACAGTGACAGAGCCAATCTCAGTGCTGCTGCAAAGGGGGTGACCATCACCCTGCAGCCACCCTGCCTCCACAGCTCTCCTCCAGTCAAGTGTGCCCTGTCGGTGGGTGGGTCAAGCCCTCCATGCTCCAGGGACCCCCCTTCCTCTAACTCTGCACACCTCGCTTCGTCTTCCGCTAGGAAGAGGGAAGACAAGGACATGTACTGAGCGTGTACCATGTGCCAAGGGCTGTGCTAAGCACTCCAAGTGCAGTCACTCGTTTCATCTTCAGAGCAACCCTGCAGGGGAAATACCTCCTGGCTCCCATTTCAGAGAAGAGGATTTGGAAGCACAGATGCTGAGGGACCCATCCAAGGGGGGATGGCAGAGGGGTAGAAGGGACCTGGCTGGCGGAGAGGTAGGAGCTCGGGGGCTTTGTTTTTGGTGGGTGCTGGGGATGGAACCCAGGGCACACATGCTAGGGCTACAGTGGTGCAGGCCTACCACTGAGTGACACCCCAGCCCTGATGCTAGGTTTTAAGCCGAGTCTCTGATCTTCACACCAAAGGTGTGGCCCCTCTGCACACACTTCTGGGTGTCAGATCCAGGGCCCCACATCCAAGAGAAGCTTCCTGAGGACTGGACAGTGACATGCACTTCTCAGCCTCGGGGAGATAACGCAATGGTGCTGTCATCAGGCCCTAGTGTGGCACCGGCCAGCATCAAATCCCAGCTCTTAAAGCCTAAAGGCTCTGCGAAGCTGGCCGTGCATCCCCTCTCTGAACCTCAGCTCTCATCTGTGAAGTGGGATCGACAGCAGCGGAAGTGCTAAGCCTGCCACAAGGGAACCCATGTACAGTGCTGGCAGAGGAGTTGTCATGTGCTAACACCAGGGGTTACTGTCATCATTAGTGTCCCTAGCGTGGGACTATAAAACAAGCTTGCTGATGGCCTGGGTGTTCCCTATGGAAGCCCCAGCATCAGATTCTCACTAGCAACCCCCGGAAAGGACCAAAGGATGAGCGGCTGTTCCCAGGCCCCATACCTTGGTGAGATGAGCGTCGTACAGGTCGGTGAGGAGTTTGCATCCTTGTCCCACGCCGAGCACTGAAAGGCAGCCACCTCATCTGGCATCCATCACTCCCTTGTGAGCCACTCTTACCCTGCCCATGCTGCCAGAACACGCCCTCCTCCGGGGAGATGTCACAGCAGGTTTCTAGGCCCCGTTTGCATGTACTGACTCTGCCTCATGGTGGAGGGGCCTGGGGTCCTCAGCAAGCTCCCCAGGGGGTTCCAATGTACTCAGAAGGGCTGATCCAGTCCCACAGTGGTGCAGGCAAATTTAGTGGCTCTGAGCATCACCTTTAACCTCTTTGGGCCTAAACTGCCATCAGTAAACAGGGGCACGAATACCGAAGGTACTGTGCAGATGGGTGTAGTGCAGATGGAGGAGACAATGTACAGGCTGAGGGCAGCAGAGGAAGGGATCAGCAAACGGTGGCCACTTGGCCACTTCCTGCCTCCCGCCCACCCACCCCCATCTGTTTGCCCCTTGGGCTGAAGGAGAGAATGACCCTCCATTCACTCCTGGAGAGGGAGAGCGAGAGGGGTCATGAGATCATGTCTACCAGCTGCAGTCTGGGAAGCAAGACAAGGGTTCTGCCAAGGGTGGGGTCCTGGCCACCACCTGACCCCAGGGACACAAACAGCTCATGACTCAGGGATCTGTGCCTCTAGCTCTGACAATATTCAGACTCTGGCCAGAAGGGTGACAGTCACCCGCCATGGAACTACCTGAAGCCAATTCACCTAAGTTCCTAAAGCTTTGCTTTCTTCATTCACGGACCCATACAGTATCCACCTAATAAGGTTGCTGTGGTGAACAAATGTGCATAAAAGACCCTGAGCCAGGTGTGGTGGAATACACCTGTTGCCCTGGAACTCAGGAGGCTGAGGCAGGAGGATCACTACAAGTCCAGGCCATACATAGCAAGACCCTGTCCCAAAAAAAAACAGGGCTGGGGATTTAGCTCAGTGGCACTGCACCTGCCTTGCAAGCAAAAGGTCCTAAATTCGATCCCCAGTACCCAAAAAAAACAAAGACCTTGAACCACATGTCTTTTTTTTTGTACCGGGGATCAAACTCAGGACCTTGTACTTGTGCCAGAACCACTGAGCTAAATCCCCAGCCCGAACCACATGTCACATGCAGGAATCACTTGATAAAGTTGGGCCACTGTGATCACTGCCCTGTGACTCCCTCCCTCCCAATGATCAGAGTCTTGGGGTAGCAATCAGGCAAGGCAGGCAGTGGTAGAAGGAAGCTGTCAGCTAAAAAGTGGGCTGGTGGCCAGGGATTTAGCTCAGTGATTCCCGCAACTGCCTCGAAAGCACAAGGTTCCGAGTTCGATTCCCAGTAACAACAACAAAAAAGAGTGGGCTGGGGCCGGGGTTTTAGCTCAGTGATTCTGGCACCTGCCTCGAAAGCACAAGGTTCTGAGTTTGATCTTTGGTATCAAAAACAAAACAAAAAAAGTGGGCTGGACGCCTAGCAGCTCCCTAATCCTTCCCAAGGCCATATCACAGTACCCCAAGGCTGCCCACATCACCTACCAAACACCCCTGAAGACTGGACATCCAGCCGGTGTCCCACACCAATCTTCAGGCTGCTGAATGCTGGTCCACAAACTGGAAAATAAAAAAGCAAGTCCATTTCTCAACAGATCCCACCTCCAAGATGGCCCCGGCCGAGTAATGACCTCATTTCTAGAATGGAGGCCCAGGGAGCCTACACTAGGATCAGGCTAGACCCTCGGACCGCCCCACTATGGATTCTGGGGCACAGAACTGCTTCCCAGTTCTCCAGGGCAACACAGAGGGCCTCTAACCTTCCTTATCACCGTTCTCAGTGAGAAACTTCAAGCTGGGCATGGTGCCAAATGCCTGTTATCCCAGCACTTGGGAGGCTGAGGCAGGAGGATCGCCATGAGTTTGAGGGCAGCCTGGGCTACACAATGAGTTCGAGGGCAGCCCGGAATACACAGCAAGACCTTGTATATTCATTCAGAAACTGGACCTTTCCAGGAAAGTTTGCCAATCTCTCATCTAATACTTCGTCCCCACTGTGCCCCTTCAAAGGTCTGGGTCAGGAGTCTCAGCGCTGGCAAATCGACTCTGGTCAGAGATTTCCTGGGAAGTGACACCCAGGATCCTGCTTGCATCTATCATACCCAGAGGGTGGTCGGTGAGGGTGGGCACGCTGGTGGCTGTGAGGGTCAATTCCTTCTTTTCACTGCCTTCCACGGGGCACAGCAAAAAGCGAATACGCTGTTTTGGGGCAGGAGGCTTCCGGGCATTGAGACCTGAACACACAAGTAAAGAGCATCTTTCAGTTAATAAAAGACCTGGGTTCAACTTCTGACTCACCTAATGAACCATGTGATAAGGATGATACTGAGTCAGTTTCCCATCTGAAAATATGGAAAAAGTGAGGTGTAACGAAGCATACAAAACAGATGTTTAAGCAATCAGCCCAAACGAGCAGTTCACGTGACTGTCAGGAAGCGCGCAGCAGGATCCTGGGTCTGGCAGAAGGGACTCACCTTTCAGAAGCTGCATCTCTACCGTATCCCGCAGATGCAGCCATTTTAGCCCCGGGGGCTTATACACCGCAAAGAGCCCCTGCAGTCGCGCCAGGCCAGCGGAGCCCATACTCTGCCCGCGCGGGCCGGCCAAAAAGCGGAGGTGTGAACGGAAGTGCCCCTAAGTCCGGCTCCAAATGTGGTCCTCACAATAGGAGCCACCAGGTTCCGCACCCGGAAGAGGTTCTCACTTTCTTGTCCTCGGAGGAAACGTGACCCGGAGAAGGACATAGGGCCCGGTGTTGAGCCGCAGAGCTAGCGGGATTACATCTCCTTTGGAGACCCTTTCTGGGGTTTAGGGAAATGGAGAAAGTGTTATATCCGTGGAAATAGGCAGAAGACTGGTCGCGTGGGTTTCCTCTTATTTAGCCATAGGGCCCTTTCTTGCCCGGGCTAGGATGTTTCCGTTCATAGGCCGCAGCGTAATAGGGATAAGAGCCTTCTTGACTTCTCTGGCGCTCCGTCCCCGAGGAATGTGGGACTGCAACCTTGCCCCGCCCACGCTCCAGCGGACGTCCGCTGCCATGGCGGTACTGCTGCTCCGGTTCCTAAGTCCCTTCAGCCGACTCCCGGGTGGTCCTCGGCCTGCTGCGGGCAAGTGGCGTTGGGTCCCAGTGCCAGGCGGGAAGAACATGCGAGCGCTGGACTTCTCTGATCTTTATCTTTTTCTTACCTCGCAGATGTGCCCCTCCGGGCCTGGATCCATGGCGCCAGCCTGTTGTACCCGGACCATATTCCCACCTCCCCGCTGCAGAAAGCGCTGCTAGCCGCCGGCTCTGCCGGAATGGCGCTCTATGATCCATATCGCCACGGTGAGGCTCTCGAGTTCAGTTCTTTCGCTGCGGCAGCGAGGAACTGGGACACCCTCGCCTTGGAAGCCTGGGCGGGTCATGACCTCTTCAAAGACTTCTTTTCCTATGGGTGCCAGCCCAGGGTGCCCAAAGCTGCATCTCCTTATTATCAGGAACGTTTATAAAAACCAGCTTAGCTGCCTGGCTCCCACCTAAACTCACTGAATCCGAATCTGTGGGGCAGGGGGAATGGAGGGAGAGAGTGGGGTGGAATCTGAAAGTCTGCCTTTATAACTTCTTCGAGGGAGATTCTGACATCCAGCTATATTGAGAACTTCTGGATCAAATAGATGATGAGCACCCGTCATATTGTGACATTACCTCTAGAAAGTAAACTTTGTGAAGTAAAGAGCCTGACCGCTCTGGTACACTCTGTGCAGCATTTCTGGCACATAGTAAATGTTTGTTGGACATATATAGCTAGAACATCCTGGGCTTCCACGTTGTCTTTCTCATCCCTCCCAGTATTTTTTAGTTCCAAAAAGTGTTGTACTGCAACTATTAAACACAACAATGCAGGCAAACCTGTACTCTCAGCTACTTGGTTGGCTGAGGCATGAAGAATGCCAAATTCGAGGTCAACCTGGGCAACCTAGCAAGACTCTGTCTCAAAACAAAATATAAAGGACTGGGAATGTAACTCAGTGGTAGAGCACTTGCCTAGCATTTGCCCTGGGTTCAATACTCAGCATTGCAAAAAAAAAAAAAAGAGAGAGAGAGAAAACAATAGTGTTAACTGCCTATTGAACACGGTGCTAAGGGTTTTATATGCATGATTTTCTGGATTTCTCACATGAACCCTATGAGATGTGTTACCTGCATTTCACAAATGAGGTCTCTGAGGCTTAGAAATCTTAAGTGATTTGTGCCAGGTCACTTAGGTAGGGGCTACACCTTGACTCAAGCCCTGTACTCATGCTGGAGTCTGTATCGGTAGAGACATAATAGTCTGTTGTGACAACAGGATGTGAACGTGATTCGCAGGGCCAGTCTGATCCTTTCCATCAGCACTGTGCCTCCCTTAGCTCCTCAAGCTGAAGCCCCTTTCCCATTTCCTCTTCCTTTCTAACTCTGCCTAATAACTCTGCCTGTGCATCTCAGAGAGAGAAGAGAGGGGAGAAGATGGGGGAGAGATAAGATTTATAAACCCTTAGCACTGTGCTAACCAAAGCCAGTCCAGTCCGGTAGATTAATAGCAATAATTGATCTACTGAGCCTTTGCTGTATACCCAGTGATTTGCTAAGCATAACATGAATCCTTCTAACTACTAGGCAGATATTCTCTCTGTTTTATCACATACAAACTAAAGCTCAGATCAAGAGACTTCCCTAGATCAGATCCCCCCCACCCCCGTCTGTGCCCATTTTTGTCATTTCAGACATGGTTGCAGTTCTAGGGGAGACCACAGGATACTACACCCTGAAGGTCCTCAGGGACCAGATGAGGAGGGATCCAGAGGGTGCCCAGATCCTACAGTAGGTCCCATCTCCACTTGGGGACATTCTCTAGGAATCCTGACCTCTCTAGAGTCGCAATGTGTCAGCCTTGTTCCTCTAAAGAAGCTCTTTTTGGGTTTTTTTTTCCTTAGAATTAGGGATTTTTCTTTCCACAGTCACTCTGTGTTTTACCAAAGATAATCAAAGAAAACCCAGTTTGTTTGCAAAATAAGCTTAGTGGGTTTTGTTTCTTTTTCTATTTGTGCATTACTGGGGATCAAACCCAGGAGTGCTCTACCATTGAGCTACATCCCCAGCCCTTTTTATTTTTTGAGACAAGATCTCATTAAATTGCCCAAACTCTGGGTGTGGTGGCACATTCCTATAATTCCTAGCACTTGGAAGGGTGAGGCAAGAGGATCACAGGGAGTTTGAGGCCAGCCTGAACTACATAGTGAGACCCTGTCTCAAAAAAAAAAGTTGGGGCCAGGGATTCAGCTCAGTGGTTCCGCCGCCTGCCTCGCAAGCGCAAGGACCCAGTTCAATCTCCGGTACCAAAAAAAAGTTGCCCAAGCTGGCCTCAAGCTTGTGATCCTCCTGCCTCAGCCTCCTGAGTGGCGAGGATTATAGGCTTGCCCTACCACATCCTGCTAGAAAACTCTTCTCAATGGCCTGGCCACAGAGGCCTGTAGAGGCTGGGTACTGCCCAACTCCAGGGGCGCCGTTCACATACATGTATGTGCACTATAATGACCTCTGAGTTGTGCCAGCCACAGGGCTGTGTGTCTTCATTAAGCCTCCATGACACGTGCGAGCTGTACCTCTTCCCTGTGGTACCTTTTGCAAGTATTCTGATCACATTGGAGGCCAGCCTTCCTGTGTCCTTGGTTTGTGGTAGTCTCAGTCCTGACACTGGCCCAGCTCAAGGAGATGCCATTAGCACCTGTGCTCACCCCAGGCTTGCTCTAGTTGGACCCTTTATCTCCTTGCCAGCTCCATCCCAGTACCCATGTCCTGCCTTCTGCCTTTCAGGGAGCGTCCCCGAATCTCACTGGCCACCCTTGACATGGCTAAGCTCCGGAGCCTGCCTGAAGGCTCCTTCGGCTGCGAATATCTCCGCTTCCTGGAAGTAAATGTGAGTTTCCAACTTGTGTGTTCCTGGCAATCACCAGGCCAGGCTGAGAATGGCACAGGAGTGACAGCCTGAGGCCAGAGGAGTCCTGTGCTCCCGCCATGCCATGGGTAGAGGGTGTCTCATTAAATATTATAGGTATTAACCCTGTTTTACCATGTACAAATGAAGGCTTATGCGGCCTCACCTGTCTCTACCCCAGCCTCCCTCCTGCAGCGTGTACACATCCCATCAAAGCCCTCTGCCCAGTGGGTCTGTCACCTTCTGTGGCACGGGCCAAAGAGCCAGGAACATGGCTCGAGAGGATAGCACTGGCCACTGTTTAATCAACCTCACACCTCATGACAGGCTCCCAAAAGCCCTATTGAGTGTGTCCTCTTATTATCCTCCTTTAATAGAGGACAGAAGCTCGGAGCGGTTCAGCAACTTGCTAATTGCCCACAGCCAGTATTACCAAACACCGTATGCAACCCCAGATAGGGCTTTGAACTGCCGCACTATGTTGCCCTCCTCCTGGGATACTGCTCCTCCTGGGGTGACAGGTTTGGTGCTTTCTGCAGCCTCAGGGAAGGATGGTGCAAGGGAGTTGAGGGCTTCCTAGGAGTTTACAGCTCACGGTTCCACATGCTGGGAGTGGGAGTGTAGCAGGTGAGGTCCTCCTTTCATGGAGCTTGTATTCTAGTTGCAGAAGTAGATAACAGTAGTTTTTTTAAAAACAAATAAAATTCAGGTGAAGTATTTATTGAGTACGTAGAATGTCCCATGCCCCATTCTCAGCAATGAGGTTACAGCGAACGAACCCAACGAAAAGCCTGGTTTGTGGTCCTTATATCCTAGCCATATGCACTGTGCACACAGCAAGTTCCCATGACAGAGGACGGTTCTGGTGTGGCAGGGAGCAAGTCACTTCTGATCAGTCAGGGGAGGCTCTCTGAGGAGACCAGGAGGGTGAGCAGGAGCCAGCCCTGGAAAGAGCTGGGGAGCAGCATTCCAAGCAAAGGAAACAGCATATGCAAAGGGTGTGTGTGTATGTGTGTGTGACTGGGGATCGAACCCAGGGCCTTTGCACTGAGCTCCATCTCCATCCCTTTTTTATTTTGTGAGACGGGGTCTTGCTAAGTCATTAAGTTCCTCAGGCTGGGCTCAAACTTGCAGTTTTCCTGCCTCAGTCTCCTAGAGTGCTGGGATTACAGGCCTGCGCCACCAGGCCTGACAGGTTCTGTGTGTTCCAAAAAGAAAAGTGTGCAGCTTTGGGGTGTGTAGCTCAGTGGTAGAGCATGTGCATGGATTCAATCCCCAGTACCAAAGCAAAAAAAGAAAATGGAGCAGAGGAGTGAGAAAGGGAGAGGCAGTGCCCCAGGAGCTGGCACCAGGCACACAGGCCTGAAGAAGTAGTCTGTATTGTGTCATTGAAGCAACCGGAAGGTTTGCAAGCACGATAGTAACATTACCTGATTTATAAGAGAACCAAAGGAGGGGCTGGGAATTTAGCTTGGCAGTAGAGCACTCACCCAGCATGCACAGGCCCCTGGGTTCCCATCTGCAACACCAAAACAGAAAGATAAACTTAAGATACAGCTGGCCTACCTTACTTGCCTGGCCCCAGCCTTCCTCCCTCCAGTACACACCCCTGCCACCAAATCCCTGTGCTAAGCACTGTCCCACCCACGCAGAAGCAAGCCAGGCAGAGGAAGTGAAGGGGTGACTGGAGATTGCTCGAAAACAGGGTTTCTCAACCTTGGCAGATCTATGGATCTGCTGTGGTGGATAATGCTCTGTGGCAGAGGTTGTCCTGTGCCTTGTAGGACATTTAACAGCATCCCCGGCCTCTACCCACTGGATGCTGTTAAATGCACAGCCCCTGGTGTCCCCAGATTTTGCAGATATCCCCGAGTGAGCTGCTGCAAACCACTGCTTTAGAAGGGCATTGTGCCCAAGACCACACCCCACCCTTCACCCTCTTCTTGGCAGGGCATTCACCTGCCCTGGTTTATGCCATCTCCCTCAGATTTCTCCAAGGTGCAGACTATTTCATCAATGGGAACCCTGCCAGGGTGACCCACCTCAAGTGCCACCCAGGGAAACGCCACTTTGGAAGTCCCCAGAGCCTTTAGTCATGTTGCTGTGGAGGGGACAGGAGCAGGAAGGGGCCGCCAGGACCACCCTGGGCTCCTTGTCCAGTGACTGCACTGGTTAGGCTAACAGCCCAGAGAGGTGGCACTTGTGAAACACAGGACACAGCAACCCTCAGAATGGAGAAGCACCTTTGACCAAGCAGAGATTCCAGGTGAGGACGCCTGCCCTGCGGCTGGCCTAGCTGAGGGATGTAGTCATCGAGGGCCTCCAGATGAGAGACCAACTCCTGCCTCTCGCCAGTTTTACAACCCTGGGCAAATCTGAATCTAGAGTGAGGGGACCTGGCCTTCATCTTCAGGGCACTCACACAGTGTACTGATATGGGACAGCGAGGCTGCAGGCTTCGGAATCCAGCAGACTTTGTTTCCAGTCCTAGCTCAGCCTCCTTATTAGCCATGTGATTTGGAGCAAGGTACCTTAGGTCTCTGAGCTTTGCTTTTCTTACCTATAGCCAAGGTAATAACAGTAGCCACTTCCTAGAATGTGGTGAAGGACATGGCACAGGAGCCACATGTGTCAGGGACTCCATACAAGAGACCGCCATTGCTGTGACTGCAGCCATACACAGCAGGTGAAACCCCAAAGAAACTACAGCACTGTGCCAGCAGGCCCAGTTCCGTGAAGGCCTCAGATCCCTGGGTTTCTGGACAGGCAGAATAGGCTGCTGTCACCCTGGCACTGCTGAGGACTCGGATCAGGTGAAGGAGGACACTCAACCTCCTACCCTGGGGTCAGAGGAGTCCCAGGGACTGCTGGCCCTTTACTCACACATTCAGGAGACAACATTCATTCCTCCGGGCCATGGACCAGCACCAGAGGCACAACAGCCAGTGTTGTCCTCATGCGGGGACACTGTCCACAGAAATAGAACTCAAGCTGGCCATGGGGGCACCCACCTGTAATCCCAGCACTCAGGAGGCTGAGGCAGGATGATCACTGCACATCTGAGGCCAGTTTGGACTATGTAATGAGTCCAAGGCCAGCCTGAACTACGTAGCAACACCCTGTCTCAAAAAAAACCAGACAAGGGCCAGGGATTTAGCTCAGTGATTTCCCCGCTTGCTGTGCAAGTGCAAGGACCTGAGTTCGATCCCCGGTACCAAAAAAAACAGACAACAAAAACTCAAGCCATATATGTTATTTAAAGGTTTCTACTAGCCACTATTTATTTATTTTATTTATTTATGCACCACTGGGGATTAAACACAAGGCTTTTAATTTTTATTTTGAGGCAGAATCTCACTGTGTAGCCCAGGCTGGCTTCAGATTTGAGCCATTCCTCCTGCCTTAGTGTCCCATGTGCTAGGATTACAGGTGTGCATCACCATGCTCGGCTCTATTTGTGTGTATGTGTGTGTGTGTTGTTGGGGATTAAACCCAAGGTCTCATACATGCTAGACAAGTATTCCACCACTGAGCTACACACTCAGCCCTTCTTTTTTTTTTTTATTAGTATGTGTTTGTGATACATAATGATTATATTCATCATGGGGATTTGGTACATATATACTTCTCTTCTCCTCCATCCCACCCCAACTCCTCTTTTTTTTTTTTTTTTTGGTACCAGGGATCGAACTCGAGTCCTTGTGCTTGCGCAGCAGGTGGCGAAACCACCAAGCTAAATCCCTGGCCCCCAACCCCTCTTTTTAATTGTAGTTTTTTAAAAAATGCCCATGACAAAATTTATCATCTTAACCATTTTTAAGCATGTTCATTCGTGTTAAATATATTCATCAGGTTGTGCAACTAAATCTCCATCTTGCAAAATGAAAACTGTGCCCACTCAGCAGCTCCAACTATGCCCTCCCCACTGTGGATCGCTGCCCTCGCAGCCCACAGGCCACAGGCGTTACCTCGGAGCTGGGGTGGGTGCATTCCCCACCCAGGGCCTCCTGTGTGGCCAGTATGGGCAGAAAGTGCCAGGGTTTACTGGTGGGGGGAGTCGGATGGGGAGTGGTTTCGAGTGAAGAAGGCTGGCAGATGGGGCCTGGGAACTTCCAGGAAGGGGTGTAAGGGAGGCTGTTCCTTGGCAGAGGGTCTCCCCTGAGACCCGAGCACCCACCCGCTTTGTGGACGACGAGGAGCTAGCATACGTGATCCAGCGGTACCGGGAGGTGCACGACATGCTCCACACCCTGCTGGGGATGCCCACCAACATCCTGGGTGAGTGCCAGGGAGGGCATGGCAGGGACCCCTAGCCCGCTGTCTCCCAGGGCTCCACAGGCCAGGGCCGGGCTCACTCATCACCATGCGTCCATCAGCTGGCTGTGTGTCTGCCTTACTTTCTACTTTGCTTGACCATCATACCCTCTTCTCCGCCCCAGTGCCCCTCTGTGCCGCCTACACCGATGTCACGGCATGCAGACACCCGTGCTCCCTCGTTCGGCCCTTCAGCTGCCTCCCTGCTTGGAGACCCTCAGCGCCTCCCTAAGGTTCCCATCCTAGTCTCCTCAGCCTCACTTTTGAGGTCCTCTGCATTCTGGCCCGTGAGCCCCTCCCAGCCTTAATCTCCTGCTGGCTCCCAGGCCCTCTCCTCCACTCCAAGCTGAGTGTCCCCAGGGCAGCCCAGTCTGTGACAGGGCTCAGCCAAGCCCTGGAGAAGTCAGGAGGCCGGCAGCACCGCTGTGCCCACTGTGCCCGCTCTGGGCACCTGCTCACCTCCCCACTCACACCCAGGGGAGATCGTGGTGAAATGGTTCGAGGCTGTGCAGACTGGCCTGCCCATGTGCGTCCTGGGTGCACTCTTTGGACCTGTTCGCCTCAGGGCTCGGTAAGTTTTCCAGTGGCACCAGGGGCTGGGTTCAGTGTGGGAGAGAACCTGCAGGAGCCAGGACTCCAGGAATGGGAAGGGAACACAGACATTGCGCAGTTCCATGGCTGTCCAGGAAGCAAGGATAGGAAGACTGAGTCCGGAAGGGGAATCTGGCCATAAGCAAAGCTTAGGCCTCAGGGTCTCTCGGGCCCCAGGGTCTCTTGGGCCTCAGGGCTGGTCAGAGTGACAGGAGGCAGTAAGGCAGCAGGGCTTCGTTAGTTTCTGTAATTACAGAGACCTCTATTTCAGTCCAAGCTTTGACAAGTTTCAGGGTGCGCAACTTGGGGCACTGTCCTTCCCTCCGGCTTGAGGCTGAGTGCTAAGTACCTCCAGGCCTGCCCCGCCAGGACCTGATGTCATCTCTTCCCTCTGCCACCCCACAGGAGCCTGCAAGTGCTGGTCTCGGAGCTGATCCCATGGGCGGTTCAGAGCGGGCGCCGGGCCCCGAGTGTCCTCAACCTGTACTTCGAGCGGCGCTGGGAGCAGCCCCTGGTGGCCCTGCGGGAGGAGCTGGGCATCACAGCACCCCCTCTGCACGTGCGGGGCCTGGCCTAGCCTGTGCCACTGTGTGGGGGGACCTGGCCTGCCTCCCTAGGGGCAGAGGGCACTTTGCTCCTCTCTTTGAACACTGACCTTTGGACATCGTCTATCATAATTATCATAACTGCTATCCTGTGGCCCTGAGGGCCAAAGCAGGAGGGTGCAGAGAGGGCAGCAGGGCCACCCAGGAGCTGAGAGAACCGCATGCGCACAAGGAAGGAATAGCAGTCAAGGAGCACCTGGGCTGTCCAGGCCTGCAGACCCTGCAGCCATGGCTTCCCAGGGGTCAGGCTGGGTGTTCTTGGAGTGAGAGCTACACCCACTTCCTGGGGGCTGAGGCAGAGGGGAGGTGAGTGCTGTCCAAATAAAGGCTTCCATCAGTCCCGGTGCCTTCGGATCCTCCCTTGGCCCAGTTCTGTGCAGGACTACGGAGGGCAGAAATCCCCTCCCCACTTGAACTACAGCCACTTATCCTTCCTCTGCTCTGAAGCTGCCTAGATCAGGATTCAGCTCCTCAGCTCCTCCTCTGTTTTCTCACAGAGAACTGAGGGCAAATCCCTTTCCCTGTGAGCGCAGTTTGGTCCTCAGTACAGGGAAGCAGCAGTGCCTGCCTCTTCCAGCTGCTGTGGGGGCTGTCCCCGAGGTGAAGTGCAGATGGGCTGCAGAGCAAGGCCAGGGAATTTCATTCCTGCTGTGTTTATGGCCACAGGAAGCTGCAGGGCTGCAGTTCATTTTGGAGTGGCAAATGGAGATGGGGACAGTCCTTAAGTCAGCAAGATGTGACGCTAAGCAGGGTGAACAGTGTCCATGGAAGAGTGAGTGCCCCTGTCTGGGGATTTCGGACCAGAAAACCCCCGAGATGGCAGAGCCTTTCGGGCTCCTCATTGTATGGCCAGGTCAACCAAAGCCCAGAGATAGGTGAGGAATTGCCCAAATAACTAGAACACGGGCCACCATCCTCCAGGTTGTTTTTCCTGTGCCTTGGTTTCCCTATCTATAATGACCACAGTTTAGCTAGGCATGGTGGTGTACGTCTGTAATCCCAGCACTCTGGGAGGCTGAGGCAGGAAGATTGCAAATTCAAGCCCAGCTGGGCAATTTAGCAAGACCCTGTCTCAAAAATAAATAAAGAAAAAGGGTTAGGGAGGTAGCTCAGTGTGAAGGCCCCAGGCCCTGGCCTTCCTCACACCTACCACATGCAGTCCAGGCTCCCAGTGGCAGAGGGATGCCTCAAGAGGCCGCAGGCTGGGAACCCTGGGCTTCTTGAGAGGGAAGATTTATCTTGAGCTCCAAGAATTTCACATCCTCGGCCCCCTTTACAGACCTGCCAGCGGTTGCCATGACTTCCCAGCACCTAGCCTCCCACCCCCACTGCAACTCAGTAAAAGGTATCAAGGCAGGGCAGGGGTCAGACTCTTGCATGGCCTTCTCTGCCCTCCTGGGTCACTCTCCTGCTCAGCCAGCTGGTGCCCAGATGACCTTGGGCCATTACAGAACTTACAGCATGGGTGCTGGAAATCTGGATTAACTGGGAATGGAATCTGATCTCCTAGTCAGAGGGTGGCATTTGGAGAAAAATAGCTACCACTGACAGTTCCAACACCGCATGTGAGGCTCTGCCAACTTCTGCCTAGAAACGTCCATTCTCCCATCTAACCCACCGTGTGTGCCTTCACCTGCTTCCAGAGCACACACCAGGCTTCCTGCTGCCTTGGGGAGCAGCGCTGTGTCCTCAGGTCGTCACACCGTGAGCTGCCCATCACATCTGTGCAAATGCGACCACCTCAAAAGGTCTTCCCTGACCACAAGGGCTTGGCACTTCATGGCCAGGCCCCATGCCAGCACCCCACCTTCAGAACCTCATTTGGTTGCCATCTACAGTGACCTTTGAGGCGAGGCTGATGGTGGCCTTGCTTCACAGTGACCCTGGCTCTTAGACTCAGGGAAGCCCAGGGCCTGAGTTCTTTCCTTGAAGCCTAAGGAGCCACCTTTCCCCAGTCATAGGTAGCAGGGCAAGAATGTGGTGGCTCAGCAGTAGAGAGCTTGCCTAGTATGCACAAGGCCCTGGGTTCCATCCCCAGCCCCAAAAGAAAAACAACCTTAGGTAGCTGACACGGGAGCAGCGTTCAAACACCCAGGGTCCAAAGGCAGGGCTAGCTCTGCCACTGAGCACTCCTTATCACTCTGCCAGCCTCTGTTTCCTCATCTGTAAAATGGGGAGAGAATTACACCTACTTTCCAGCAGGGCCTTGGCAGGCTAGGAAAATGGTTCCCAGTCAGGGCTCATTAGCATATGGTGGCCACGCAGGAAAAGGGAGCTGGTCTTTGCCAGTGAGGCTCCTGGCAACCTCTGAAGTCACTATGTGCAAAGTCAAGGGAGCCAGAGGTGCTGCTTTGCACACACCCAGAGTGGGAGGATTTCTACAGCCCAGCACTCTCAAGCCAAGTGGAACGGAATATGATAGGGTAAACACCAAAGCATCCCAGAAGCCTGGGGAGCCTGAGTGCCACCACCGTGTGAGTCTCAGGTCTGCAGAGTCTCCAGCACAGATGCTGGATCCTTAGTGCCACGCAGCAGGGGCCACATCAGGGAAAAAGAGCCCCTGAGAGGTCAGCCTAAGCTAGGCCCCTCCCACAAGTGACAACCAAGTCCCTGCCCTTCTCAAAACTCTCCGTGGTTCTTCACTGCCCCCGGATAAACCCCTCAGCCTGGCACACAAGGCCTTTCCACTCCTTCCTAGCTCACCCCCACCACCACATGCCCGCCGGGCTTCATATGCCTCTTCAGGGTATGTGCCAAATGCAGAGGCTGGGAGACAGCTCCATTCCGGCCCTGGGAGAGGTCAACTGAAGGCCTCCCTTGTGTCAGCCTCTGGTGAGAGCTTGACGTGTGTCATCCTGAATCCTTACCAGCCACACAGAGAAAACTCTGTATCTAGATCTTGACCTCGTGTGTGAGGCTCTAAGCCATGATAATAGATACCTCCTTGGCCACAGCATTCCCATTTGACATAAAGACATTGAGGGTCCATGGGGACAGTCATTTGCTCAGATCTTACAGCTGGGGCCAAGAGTACAGCCCAGCCATGCCTGATCAGAATTCAAAGAAGACAGTTAAACAATCACAATACTATGTGGAGAGTATTAAGCCAGGTGTTTTGCCAGAAGTACAGCGAGTTCTCAGTGAGAGCCCATCTGGACTAAACTTTACCCACTTTGTCCACCTGCACCGAGCAACTTGCAGGCAGACTGCTTTGTTCCCGCTATGTCCCCTGTCCCTGGCTTCCCACCTCTGGCCTGGCCCAGATCTTAGTTTCACCCACGTGACAAGTTAGGTGGGGGACAGGAAATGGTTGGTTATCAACGGCCCTCCCCAGACCTTACCTCCCCCCTTTGCAAATGACCTTAACAGTTGATTTGGAAATAATCATGCTTATTTCCATGGATTCTGGTGTGGATAAGGTCAGAGTCTCTGATTCTCTTATTCAAATCTCCTTGCGTTCATTCAGCATGTTTTGAGCTTCTGTTACTTGCTGAGCCTGTGGTTATAATTAGAAATAATGTATCTAGATTTTTGATCTTGTATGTGTTTTGTGGTCAATGAGCCTCTAAGCAACAATAATAAATACAGCAAAAGCTGGGCATGGTGGCGCACACCCGGAATCCCAGCGACTTGGGGGACTGAGGCAAGAAGATCACAAGTTCAAGGCCAGCCTAGGCAACTTAGATCCTGTCTCAAAAAACTCAGTGCCCTCTGGGTTCAGTCTCCATTACCACAAACTAAAATATGTCAAGTGCTATTTCAAACACTCCCTATGAATCTCTACCCCACTCTGTGAGGTAAGCACTATTAGCATGTTCCTTTTTTTTTTTCCTCTCGTCCTGGGAATTGAACTCAAGGTCTTGTGCAGAGCACACAAGAATTCTACCACTGAGCTACATCCTCACCCTTTTAATATATAAAAAGAAATGGAACCCAGGCGTGGTAGCACTTGGGAGGCTGAGGCAAGAAGATCACTGTGAGTTCAAGGCCAGTCTGGGCCACATAGTGAGTTCAAGGCCAGCCTGAACCACATAGTGAGACTCTGTCTCAAAAAACGAAAGAAGGGGGGCCAGGGATTTAGCTCAGTGGTTCCACCTCCTGCCTCCCAAGCACAAGGTCCCAAATTCGAACCCCGGTACCCCCCCAAAAAGGGGGGGGGCGGGAATTTTGCTCGGTGGTGCCACACCTGCCTTGCAAGTGAAAGGTCCTGAGTTTGATCCCTAGCACCAAAAAAAAGAAAGAAAGAAATGGAGATTTTGAACATCCTACCTAGAATTTAAACCCAGTTGTTGCATGGTAATGCCTATGCCCATAACCACTGCATTGTACTGTCTCCTGAATGTGATACCCCCAGAGAAAGTGGTGCTTGAATTTACCCAGGTCCTCCAAAAGGATATACTCCCTCTGCTCCAGAAGAAATAGATCCAAATACTTATCAGTCCAAAATTTCATCTTCAAGTCATGTGTGGTGATACACTCCTACAATCCTAGCATTCAGGAGCCTGAGGCAAGAGGAGCCCAAATTTTAGCCCAGCCTGGGCCACATAGCAAATTCAAAGCCAAAGAAAGTCACTTTTCAGTCTCTATAAACAGACCCTGAAAACTGTCCTCTTCCCTTTCACAGACATCTGCTAGACTAAGGAATTAAAAGAATCTATTTAAGGACAAGTGACAACTGTGGATGCCCAATTGGTTGGGTTATTGAGGAACCAGGTTTTGAGAGACTGTGAGCCCTGCAGGGCTGGGAATCTGGCTGATCAGTGGTTTGGCAAATAAGGTCCTAGGTTTCCAAATGAACTGATAACTGATACTCTACAACTCTGTGCTGGGAAGCCTATTTTTGAGTACTAGAGATTGAACCCAGGGCTGCAGCAAATGTTAGATGGCGAAGCCCAACCGACCTCCATTGCTGCTTGACAAAGTTCCAGCTGGGGGAAAGAAAGGGTGGAACACATCGTACCCTCATGTTTTATTTTTTCTTGCCATAATGTTT